GTGGGTCCAAAATCACCCACTCTTTTATTTTCTTTTTTCATTTTCTTGTGAGTCCACTCAAATCCATATTGTGTTCTGACATTTCCAATTTTTCAACGTGAACACGGAAGACTGGAAGTTAGGAGACGGCTGAATCTCTCCGTCTCTCGGGCCAAACTCTAGTCCTACAATGTCCCGGCTTGTTGAGTGAAGAATGTTTTGAACACACCGTGCTCCTTGGCAGACGAGGAAGGGGAGGCTCTGGGCAGCAGGCTCACCCCTACCCAAGGGACTGACCATTCAGCAGGAGGCGGGAGTGTGGAAAACCTGGGGGCACGCCAAAATAACTGAGGTAACTGGGAAAGTGACACTAAGAGAGCCAGCATATGGCCCGCCTGAGGGGCTCAGCTGCTTGCGTGTCCAGCTCCTGATCTCAGTTCAGGTCATGATCTCACGGTTCATGAGTTCAAGCCAGACATCGGGCTTCACACTGATAGTGGGGAGCCTGCTTGGGATTCTCTCTCTCCCCCTCTCTCTGTGCCCCTTCCCCTCTCTCTCTCTCAAAATAAATAAATAAACAAATGAATAAACAAAATGGCCAGCACAGTTGCTAAAAGCAGAGAACACTAAGAAATGACCAGACTGGGCGGTTCAAATGCGTCTTGGAAGAGACGACTGGAGAACCGACTGAAGATGTGGCACTGGAAGAAGCCTGACAACAGGCCAGCAACGTCAGCTCAGAGTTCAAGTATGAGAAGCGGCACCACGCGGACGGCGTTCCTCCGGGAGAAGTAGGGGCCGGCCCCCGGCCACAGGGCAAGTGTGGGGCTCAGGCTGGAACATGCACCGGCACCCCACAAAGTCACTCACACCTGCACCGCCAGGCATCATCTGACCGCCCACCGCTCTCCCTCTCCGGTGCCCCGTTTCCTCCCACCGCCAGCACCATCCCCACCATGAACTTGCCGGAACACGTTAGCACCTCGTTGTGCAGAAGACACAGCCTTGCCACTTAGAGATGTGTCCTCATCCCAGCCAAGGGCAACTACCTTGCAGGTTATTCATCTCCAGACAAAATGATTCTGAACACTTCATGGCCGGATGGGAGCCGGGATAGCAGAGTCTCAGTGTACACTTATCTTCTAAATGTTTCCATGTGTAGACGTTAAGATTTTATCAGAACACGTGACACTCAAATATATATGTATATATAATATACAATTTAATATATAATAATATATATTAAAGTTTACACATATCTCAAGGAATAAATTGAGTAACTAACAGACACAAGTTCTATTCAGGTGTCGTTTAGTATCATTGTTTTTCTTGCTCTTCCAATGGACTACACTATAAATGCTCCGCAGGAAGATGGACCTGCATCTTTCCGTCACATCTAGCACAGAACGCTCAGCAGGTTTGCAGTGTGGCCCACCACTGCCATCACCATGAATTCGAAAGGACTCTGCCTTGATCTCATCATACACAGCACTGTCGTAAAACACACACAATGGGGGCACCTGGGTGGTTCGGTCAGCTAAGCACCCGACTCTTGATCTCAGCTCAGGTCATGATCTCACAGTCGTGAGTTCAAGCTCCACATTAGGCTCTGTGCTGACAGCGTGGAGCCTGCTTGGGATTCTCTGTCTCCTTCTCTCTCTGCCCCTCCCCCACTCATGCTCATTCTCTCTCTCAAAAGAAACAAATAAATGTTAACACACACACACACACAGAGAGAGAGAGAGAGAGAGACTATATCTCTAAGGGGCCATAGACCATTTTATAAATTGATGAGTACATATGCCAAAAAGTAGCAAATTTAAGGTACTTTTTTTACTGATAGCATAGCACGCTTATTATTAATCACTTTATGCTAGATATTTGAAGGCTTTGAGAAAAAAATGTCACAATGCACATCTCAGCGCCTTCCACACTCTGCACCTGGAGCTTGTCGCTATGGCAACCTGTCTTGATGCCTCTAAATCAGAAGCGATGTGTGTTCATGTTATGTCCTAAAATGCAGAGCCAGAACAAAACCACCAAATGTACAACCACAGCATTCCAAATGTTCTTCGGTACATTTCAGACAGTTATTATCTATCTAACATAGGATGGAATAATTCAACATCTCGATTCATGGCTTACATTTTATTTTGCATTTTTAAATGTATCACTGGGTAAATTATTCCTTCTGTTTTCTTAAGCCTCTCAAGTTTTCGCCACCCTAACAAAATATACCTAACGAGAAATCAAATGGAAGACTTATTCCAGTAGAAGAAAAATACATTTTTTTTGATCCTGGCATGAAATCAAAGGGTCAAAACAGATGCTACCCAAGGCAAAACCTGTACCATCACTCTGGAGGGGCCCCACTTACGCATGACTCAATGTTATTTTGTTGGTTGTTTGGTGTTTTTCTTAATGTGAATGGAATCTCTGATCAGAAATGTTTAAATCCGGGGGCTCCCGGGTGGCTCAGTCGGTTAAGTGTCCAATTCTTGATTTTGGCTCAGGTCATGATCTCGTGCCCATGAGATGGAGATGGAGCCCTGTGTCAGGCTCTGTGCTGTCAGCGAGGAGCCTGCTTGGGATTCTCTCTCACTCTCTCTCTCTGCCTCTCCCCTGCTTGTGCTCTCTCTCCCTCTCAAAATAAATAAGCTTTTTTAAAAAAAAGTTTAAATCTATTTCTAATAAATAAAATCAACATTCTCAAGAATTCTCGAGAAAAAGAACTTTAAAATACTCAAAGTATCCCAAATACTGTTTCATAGTATTAATTAAAATAATTTTTATTGTCAGCAAAGTCATGATCCATTTAATACACTATGTAAGAAAGTTTATAAAAAATAGCCCTTAAGAATATACACAAAAGTGAAAACAGATTCTAAACAGAGGAATTCAACATTTTTTCTAGTTTTTATGTTTGTTAATAATTCTGTAATAAATATGTTTTATAATTTGTATTCTTAATATTAAAACATGGGATATCACAGAAGGAAATTCAAGTTCAAAATATAATGAATGCCAACTGTAATAAGGCACTGTGTGTGCTTGGCACTAAGAAAAATGAAAATATAATAAATGAATAAAATGGAATGGAATTCCTGCTTCTAAGGATTTCAAGCTCTGGTAGGAATCATGGTCAGAGAGGTGGTAACGGTAGCTGTAATTTACTCCATTGCCTGGGAGACGCACCTCATGGAGGGCTCTAATCTTTCTACAGGCTGCACAGCTTAGAACAGATAAATCGGAGGCTCAGGAAAAGAGGCTGAGCACACCCCACACGCAGCTTTCGCGTGTCCAAGGCTGGCCCTTGCAGCGCCTCCTGTGCGCATTCATGCTCAAAGAGCAAGGAACCCAGGTGCCAAACAAACAATAGATTTTCCACAGAACCGCCTGACACCACAACCTGAGGATGTTATCTGAGCTCACGGACGTCACCCTGGACACCCCTGACCGTTTTCCCAGCAAAGCACAGACGGGCTGGTTGTTGAGCCTTCCAGAGGACGGAATTCCAGATAACAGAATTGATTCCTCTGATTTTTACAACAGAGTTGTGAGCGGGAGCAGCCAAGTGTCTAATTTCCAACTGAAAAACACTTTCATTAAAACAGTACAAACATCGGGTGCACCTGGGGGGCTCAGGCGGTTAGGTGTCCGACTCTTGATCTCAGCTCAAGTGGTGATCTCACAGTTGGTGAGTTCAAGCCCCACATCAGGCTCTGTGCTGACAGCGTGGAGCCTGCTTGGGATTATCTCCGTCTGTCTCTGCCCCTCCCCCCACTCGCACTATTAAGTAAGTAAGTAATACATGGTTTTAAACATAGGTATGTTACACTTTTCACGAATTTTCAAACCCGTCGTTTCGATGGATTCTTTCGAGGTGACTAAATGTATAAATGTGTCAAATGGTTGTTGATTGAATAAATGCAGTGCAGAGAGGTAAACTTTCCGAACAAGGGGCAACTCGAAAGTTTATGGAAGACGGGAACACAGCGCTTTCCCACAGCTGCGCACACATCTGCATGCTAGGGATGCCCTCCCGGATGGGGCGTAGCTCGTGTGGGCACCCCCCCCACGACAGTGCTGTCAGGACTCTCTTACGGTTCAGTTATCTCCAAGAACATAAACAAAAGTCAAAACACCGAGCATATTTCACATACACTGTCTCTAATCCTGGAGATTGATTTTGCTATAAATAAACCATCAAACTTCTGAGGAAGAAGCAGAGGCTCTGAGATTCTACAGGGTTTTTCCACGCCTCACGTATGGGTGAGTGATGGACGGAGCCTTCAACTGTCGATGGACCTTATGTCAAATCCCAAGTGGTTTTCACACGCCGCTTCTGACTCATATTCCCAAATATGAGCATTTATGGCCCAAGTTCTCTAAGGACTGAAGATACTTCTAAGCGAACCAAGGAAGAAGTAAAAACAATCTCGTGTACTCAGACAAAAATCATTACGGTCACTCAGTCACTTAAAAGTAACAGCGAGGCCTTGACGGTGCGTAGGCCGGAGCCGAGGCGTGGAGGGCAGGATGGAGGAGATGGACATTAGTCCCTGCCTGCCATGTGGGGCCGGCTGTCCAGGCAGGCGGCTCTAATCTCAAGGCTACGGAGACCCCTCCTCCTCCTGTGCCCTCACATGTTGACACATCTGTCCCTAGCCTCCCGGCCAGGGCCTGAGGGGGCAGGTTTTAGAGCTCCTGGAAAGCCCACGTGGGCGTCACCCTTCACTTCCCAGGCTGTTCCCTAAAGCGTGACTCTGAAGGAGCCTTCACTCTCTTGTCTCCCATCTGCCGTGAGGGTGGCTCTGTCCCCCTACCGAAATGCCTTAATGACATCTCTCGTCCTCTGAGTTCGCTTTCTATCTGTGGAAGCAGAGCTACGGCATGTGACAGTGGCGTAGAAGTTCTATTCCTTAAAAAGCACCTGGCAGCATTTTGGAATCCTCTGATTATCTTGTTGGCCGGCCTTCAGAATACGAAACACAAAAATTACAGAATGTGTTGATACAAACCTTTCTTTCACTATCTTCATAAGGTCTTTCATCTTCTTTTTCCTATTATTAAAAAAAATACGGGAATCAACTGTCTGCAAGGAGGAACCTGTCAGATAGACCCTTCCTCCCCCCACCTCAGTCTCTGTTGTTGAAGAACCTCCCCCCTCCCAAGCTCAGCCTCACTGGGCTCCTCCCACTTCCTGCTCTAAATGCTTTGTGTTCACGCACAGCTTGTTAAGTGCTTTATACAAAACACCACACGGTATGTTCTCTGCTGCACCTGGGCGTTTTCAGTCTTGGAACCCCAGCTTCAGACATCCTTGAGGGTCCACCTCGTGTTTCCACGGCACTAGAACTTTCCACTGCGTGTGTGAAGCACCAACTACTCATAAGCCTCTAAAGATGATACTCACTTTATGAGCATATTTGTGGGATATTCAACTCAGACAGTCCTCGAGCACCCAATTTAATTAAAATCGTGTGCCATGAACTTGACGTAGGTAAGAGGAAAAAGTGCACATTTCATCTTTATTGATTTGCAGAAGAGTGTCTCAAATTAGTTAATTACTGTTGATGATATTCCATTTTAAGTTGAAAATACCGTTGAAGTGTCAGGTGTTGGGAGAGTGCGGGGACTGCAGCACGAGCACCGGAAAGCACTCTGAGGACACACGTGTCAGACGGAAGCACGGCTCCGGGTTTTCCTTCCACCTTGGATTTTGCCCACTTCTGCACCAGTAACATGCAGAATGACAAAATAAGCCATCCTTCCAGAGTCCCCTGTGCCGGGGGTGAGCGATGGCTGATCCTGACACTCACACTGCAATAGTCTCAGGTTGTTTTAAAAGACAACAGAGAGGGCTGGGGGAGGGGCTGGGGAGGAGGTTGGGGGAGGGGCTGAGGGAGGGGCTGGGGGAGGGTCTGGGGGAGGGGCTGAGGGAGGGGCTGGGGCATGGATGGGGAGGGGCTGAAGGAGGGGCTGGGGCGTGGATGGGGGAGGGGCTGGGGGAGGGGCTGGGGGAGGAGGCAGAGCCCCTGAGTGATGCTGAGAGGCCCTGTATGGGATGAGGTCTGTATCAGCATATAGGCAGGGCTGATGGTGACACAACATTGCAAAGATACTTAACACCACTGAATTGTACACTTAGAAATGGTGAAAATGGTAAGTTTGTATGTTACATATGTGCATATACATACAATATATGTTTTACCACAAAAAATTTTAAATGATAACAGAAGCCCTTACGATCGAACATCAGAAATATACAATTTTAAAATGGTGTTCATAATAATATGCCGTCCTACAGCTTTGCAAGGTCTTCATCATTTACTCCAGGGTTATACACAAAAGTTTACGCAACTTCGGCAGAGGTGACTCAAAGCAAATCTACAATATTTAGGAAGCATCTACTGTGTATCAGCTTTGTCCTGGACACTGTAAAGGACATGAGCCGCCAAGGCACATGCTCAGCTCCTAAGGTTCCACGATGTCGGGAAGAGAGAAATCACACATACACACACACACACACACACACACACACACACACACACAACCCCAATACAGTCAGGGTCAAACAAATGTCACAAAATTCATTTTTCAAATTAACAGAGAAATGAAACACAAAGTAAAACTATAGTTCACTGACAGGCGCCGGGGTGGCTCAGTCAGTTCAGGATCCGACTCTTGGTTTCAGCTCAGGTCACGATCTCACAGTTTAGTGAGTTCAAGCCCCACATCAGGCTCTATGCTGGAACAGAGCCTACCTGGGATTCTCTCTCTCTCTCTCTGCCCACCCCCTGCTCATGCTCTCTCTCTCTTGAATAAATAAACATTTTTATAAAATCTGCAGTTCACAGTTAGGTGCTTGGGTTTGCCATTATTTCAATAATACGTTAAGAAAGACACTCTCAGGGAGCCTGGGAGGCTCAGTCGATCATGATCTCTGTGCTGACAGCTCAGAGCCTGGAGCTGCTTCGGATTCTGCGTCTCCCTCTCTCTCTGTCCGTCTCCTACTCACACTCTGTCTCTTTCTCTCAAAAATAAATAAACATTTAAAAAATAAAAAATAAATAAATAGAAAGACACTTTGATTCACTCTAGGAAATTAAACCTACTGACTGATGTCAAGTTACTCATACACAGGAAACACTCCCCGAGGCCGAAGGAGACCTCCGTACCACGTCAACAAGGCGTGGACAGCCAAGTTCAGTGGCCGCTCTAGGCTTTCAAGTTCTAGCATAGATTTAATGTCATCACAGTGTTTGTGCCCTCTTCCTATTAAAACACGGCATTCGGCTATTACGTAGCTGAAACATACCAGCGCCCCTCCCCGTTACTGCCCCCAGTACAAGCAGGTGATCTTTGTGACCCATCACCTAACGCTCAGGGACAGACATTGCTCCGACTCTCAGAACACAGTCTTACACTCTGTCACCAAAGCAACGGAATACTCTTTCCTCCTCATGTGAAAGTCTTCCTGATTCATCCAGATACAGACTGTGTACTTTCACTGAAAACCGCCTCCAAATCAAAAATATTTAAGAATGTAAGGAAGAAAAAGTGAATTGTTTGAAAGAGTGTTCCCTTTGACTCTGTTAGATCATAAACTCCACTGGTGTTGAAAAACCCAAAACACTTCCTTTCCCACAAATGCCCTTTCCCGGGTGGGCAAGAGACAGCAGACAAGTCCCAGTAACTCAAGCCCCCTCCCACCAGCCCTCCGGGGGTCACTTCCCTCTGTCCCTAAATGTGGGAGCCAGCAGGCCACCGGGCACGTTGAAGAGTGGACAAGGATGGCTGGCAGGGCTGCTGCATCCTCAAATTTATTTATAGTTCTGGAAGCTTCCTCAACAGAATAGACTCATACCTGATACCCCAGACTCATTACATAACCTCCTCCCTGGAGCCAAAAACTTTAAAACGAGAAACCACCTTGAAAAAAAATTCTAGAGATAGAAGTTTGTAAACAAATTCCCAAAAATATATTTCTTACCTACGTGAATTGTATATTTAAAGTAAAGTAAATCTTGTCTTAAATGTTCTCAACACAAAAGAAGGAGACAGAGACAGAGAGGAAGGAAGGAAGGGAGGGAGGGAGGGAGGGAGGGAGGGAGGGAGAAAGAAAACGGTGACTCTCTGTGGTGGTGGGTATGTTAATTAGCTTTAACTGCCAAATATTCTTCAATTAAAAAGTTAAGATAAAAGGAAATTTTGTTTCCCCGACACACACGCGTCTACAGATGAGTCACAGAATCTCACGCGGCACCACAGGAAGGCGCTTCCTGCGTCGACGGCGCCTCTTCAGCATCTGGTGGAGAAGAGAGCAGACACGGCCACGGCCACGCAGCCAGGGCTTCCGGATGAGCTCATGCCGCCATCTAAGGGGTGTAAGCGGTCCACACCCCCGCTTCCCCAACAAGACAAGCTATTTCCACAACACCGAGGACTCACAAACACAACGTCCCTGTGGGCCACGGACACCTACACACCCACACACCTGCTGCTATCCACCTCCCGGTTCTCCACTCTAAAAACAGATCTCGAACTCTGTTAGGAAAATAGTTTTTCCGTCTGTGACGGCAGCACAGTAAAGGTGATCAGGGAAGGCACAAAAGCCATTACAATTACTCAGGTAATTTCCGGCACTGAGAGACCTGATCTACGGACCGCCTGCCTGGGAACATGCTGTGTGCCTGACTCCGTGCCGGTTTGTATCCTCGAACCAAGTGGGCTCTCTGATTCGTTCTGCATCGAACGGGAGCTCCGCCCGGCGTGTTCAAAGGAGACGGGGGTCCATGGGCCCAGGCCACGGGGTGCAAAGTAAAAGTAGAATTCGCTCACCGTGATGCTTCCACAATCGGGGAGGTTATCGTGTATGTCTTCGTCTTCCGCGACTATCTCAGCTGGTTTCTGGGGAGAAAACACAGCCTGTGTTACGGTTGGTGGCCGTCACCCTCCGTCAAGCCCCACGAAGGGACAAACAGGCAGTGAAATAGAGCAACGCTGGGAACCACTCTATGGACAGAGCTGACAATGTGGCCGGCTTTTCCACAATGGTTACTTCAACCCCAGGCTGTGTCTGCCCTGTATTTTTCACTTGGCTCCACTTACGAAATCCTAACTGGTTTAGTAGAATTGTTGGAGAAGCCTTTAAGGAGAAGCACTTGAATGCGGGCACCTGGGTGGCTCTGTGGGTTAAGCGTCCGACTCAGCTCAGGTTGTGATCTCAAGGTTCATGAGTTCGAGCCCCACATCAGGCTCTGTGCTGACAGCTCGGAGCCCGGAGCTGCTTCGGATTCTGTGTCTCCCTCCCTTTCTGCCCCTCCCCTGCTTGTGCTCTGTGTGTCTCTCTCCTCTCTGTCTCTCAAAAATAAATATTAAAATAATAATAATAAAATAAAAGGAGTGGATTATTCCCTCCAGATGCCACGGGTCAGCAGGTAGTAAGTGCCTGTGTGACCCTCTGTGCGCCCCTGGGGACCACAACCACTGCCCCCGTTCCCTGTGTTCCAGACCCACCCGCCACAGCCTGGCCGGGCTCGCTCCTCACCCAGCGGTGTGCGCTCACCTCCTTGCGTACGAATGCCCGGTTTGTGTGACTTATTGGCAGAAGGCAGTGAGCGGTCTTTAACTGGCGCCCTGGAACCGCTCGACGAAGGGAAACCATGTGCTTCTGTGGCAAAGAAAGAAAGGGCTCCCCTCGGGGCCACTTCCTTTGTATTCCTGTACCATGCGGAGTCGGCAGGTAGGACTGGGGTGACAGTCACGCCGAGCGCAGGGGCCCCGTGTCCACTGCGGGCTGGCGAGGGCGCCTCCTGCTCAACACGGTCACCCGGACGCCCGGCAGAGGGAGACTCGAGCTCCCTCGTTTCCACGACGGCAGAGGCAGAAAGCAGTGTGGGGTTTACACGCCGGCCCTTAAGGCCTCTGCCAGGCAGTGTGGCTCAGCAAGTCCACGCCCCTGGCTTCAGTGAAGGTGGGTCGCAGAGCGACACCTGAGTGAAAGTAGGAGGAGAAGTAGTCTCTCACCAGGTGACCACAATGGGTGCTGATGATGAGCCCTGGGGACCCAACAGCCCCTGCCAGCTGAGCCTTGAAGGTGCAAGACCCAAGGCTGTGGCTGTGTAGACGCCTGGGTGACTGCCCAACAGCCGCTCCCACCAGCCTGACCTCTCCTGTCCAAACATTCTAAAAATCCAGGGGTGCCTGGGGGCTCAGTTGGTTAAGCGTCTGACTTGGGCTCAGGTCCTGATCTCACGGTTCATGGGTTCGAGCCCCATGTCGGGCTCTGTGCTGACAGCTCAGAGCCTGGAGCTGCTTCGGATTCTGTGTCTCCCTCTCTCTCTGACCCTCCCCTGATCATTCTCTCTCTCTCTCTCTCTCTCAGAAATAAAATTTTTTAAAAAATTAAAAAAAAAAGGTTCTGAAAATCCAGACACTGTATGAGGGAGCTCTTCCTACAGTCTATGGGGAAAAGTAATCACGGTGAATAAGACTCTGTGGGGACTGCTCCAATCACACGGAAAATAAACATGAAAAGTACACCCTTTCAAAGAATAAGTGATGTCAACCATTGCTTCATTCATTTCTTCAGCAATACCCACAGAAGCCTGTGTCCCACAGGCTGAGATACAATAGTGACAGTGAACGCAAACCAGAGTGGCCCCCGAGGAGCTAAGTCAGATGGGGGAGGCAAACGGTAATTAAGTCACACAGTTAAGTACAAACCCGCAACTCTGATACGCTCGGTAAGAGAGCTACATGGAGCCACATAGGATGCGACGCAGGTTAACACACAGGAGGCCCCTGAAGGTTTTCTCCGGCGTGACTACAACTGCAAATGGTGAGAGATGAGACACCTCCTGTATAGGAGGGCAGGTACATGTACATGTATGCGTGTGCTTGTGTGTATGTGTGTGCGCGCACAAGTCTGGGCGTGCGTGCACATGCCTGGGTGTGCAAGTGTCCATGTGTGTGTGTAGGTGTGTGCATGTGTGTGCATATGCATGTGCACGCGTGCAGGTGTCTGGGTGGGTGTGCATATGTAGATGTGTGCGTGTGTCTAGGTGTGTGTGTGTGTGTGTGTGTGTGCATGGGTGTAGATGTGAGTGTGTGTCTGGAGCCCAGGAGAGAGCTGCAGAGAGGCTGGCGCCCCGGTGGCAGGGAGATCCGTGGGGGGAAAGGTCTGGAGAGAGAAGAGAAGCTGCCCTGACCTGACCCCTGCTGACCTCTGACCTTAAACGCCGGGCTGAGAACCTGGAGTACCAAGAAGACTGAGAAAGAGGCGCCTTGTGGGCTCAGCAGAAGAGCGTGCGATTCTTGACCTCGGGGTCGTGAGTTCGAGCCCCACATTGGGCAAATGGTTACTTAAAAATAAAGTCTTACAGAAAAGAGGGAGGCCGCAGGAGGGAGGCTGCGGGAAGGAGGCCACGGGAGGAGGCGTTTTGCTTAGACCTGGCTGGCTTCCAGCCCACCCAGCCAGGAGGACTCACGAGAACGGAGATTCCACGCACCCATAACTGACAGCACAGGAGTGTTGAGGGGCTCTGCGGAGACAGGAGCGAGCCGGGAAGAAGCCAGGACAGCCACGTCCACCACGAAGACCACAGATGGGTGCAGACCCCAGAGCTGCCTCCCCCAGCCTCCCCCCTGCCTGTCCCTTCCAGCTCCAGGCACTAGTCCTGCCGTTCAGAAGAGCCTGCCCCCGACCCCGGCATCCAGAAGCAGATGAGCCCCCACCCCCCAAGCCCCGTCGCCTGCCCCGGCCGCCGACGGGGCCTTGGCCGACTCGAGCGTTGCGTTTCTGGAGGAAAAGGCCACAGGGAAGGAAACCGCCTCTTGATTCTTCTGCTCCGCGTCCACCGTCTCAGCGGCACCCAGGGTGGAGGCGAACATCTGTGGGGAAACGAGGCCGAGGCCAGCACCCCCTGTGCAGAGGGAGGCCGGGCACAGCGGCGCCCAGAACCGGGCCGCGGGTGACACCGCCGAGCCTCTGGGCCACCAGCCCCGCCGGCCCGTCACACGGGAGGCCCCGGGCCCCGGTCACGCGGGGTGACCTGGCTGGCGTGAGTGCCCCTCGGGGTTAGGCGCCTCCTCCCCAGGTTTGCTGTTCTTCAGCCAAAGCACCGGCGCTTACAGCGCTACGACTCGCGCCCACAGGACCGTCAGCGTGTGGTCGGAGCTCGTCCCTGCACCTCGAAGCGCCAGAGCTTGAAGCCCCAGTGTGTTTCCTAATGAAACAACCCGCACGTGACACAATACAGACTGGCCTCCTACTGAGTCCACATTATCTTGGCTTCGCTGTCTTAGTGTCCTCTTCTCAGCCGTTTGTCCGAGCGGAACGGCGGGAGTTTGCGTCCCTTGCTCTGCTGCTGAGGGAGCCCAAGCAACGGCAGGCGCCTGCCAGACTGGGCCATGGGGACTCGAAGTAACCGCGGCGGCAGGCGCCGTGGGAACGGGACCCAGGTCGCTGGGATCTCCGAGGCCGCCCTTCCGGAGCACTGACGGCCGTGTGAGCACCTGCTGGGGACTCTGCACTAGGGAAGAACTGGTCAGAAACGCTGAACTATCCCCTCCCCACAACCCCGCGAAAAATCACAGCTCAGAGCCTTGGGCTCAACAGAGCCTGCAGTTCTAGGCACTTGTCTTTTTAAACATAACCTTCAATCTGGCAGAAGACATCGCTTTTGTGAAACACGTGTATCTTTAATCATTAAAACGTCAACGTTTTAATATCTGTATGCCATTTTTGTGCAGATCATAAGAGCTAAAAACTGCAGTGCGGACCCCACCCAGGGGACCCCCCAAATCACATCCTGCTGCCCCGCTCTGCGAGGCCACCTCCCCTCCTCCCTAGGCCGGGGAAAGGTCCTCCGACACCGCGTGCTGGCCTGCGCGGCTGTGCTGCGTCTCCCGGGGGCCCTAGAAGGACAAGTATTCCTGGGCACTGGAGTTAACTAAAAGCTTAAGCAGTATTTTAATTTTAGGGCCTCTCTGACACACCCATTCCGCACTGGGGGTCCCCAGGGGCGGGTGGGAAAGGCAGTGCTCCCCGAAGCGAACGGACCACAGGGACCTCGTTTTCAAAGACGCAGAACTCACTGGTCCAACCTGCCTCGCAGCCACCGATGCCATCACTTGGCATTTTCTTGCATCTGTTCAGGGGGCCCCTGCTGGGTGTGGGGAGAAGGCCCCCTCGCTCAGCCCCTCCAGGCCCTCATCCCCCAGGGCCGCGTCTCTGCCCTCACACCACGCGCACTGCTGACCTAGTTCCCACCCCCCGTCTCCATGCCCACTGACGCAGCCGTAGTGGGGGTCCCATCTCCTTGTCCTTCAAAGCAACAGACATGGCTTTCCTATTGTCTCCTGACAGCCAGGGAGTCCCAGTCCCTGCCCGGTGTGGGGAGGAAGGTTAGACAGAAAACACACACGGGGGCGCCCAGTGGCTCAGTCGGTTGAGCATCTGACTCTTGGTATCAGCTCAGGTCATGAGCTCACAGTCCCAGGATTGAGACCCACATCAGGCTCCACGCTTAGCCTGCTTGAGATTCTCTCTCTGCCCCTCCCTCCATTGCATGCATGCACTCTCTCAAAATGAGTAAACATTAAAGAAGAAGAAAGAAAGAGAGAAAGAGAAAGAGAGAGAGAGAGAGAAAGAGAGAAAGAGAGAAAGAGAGAAAGAGAGAAAGAAAGAAAGAAAGAAAGAAAGAAAGGAAGGAAGGAAGGAAGGAAGGAAGGAAGGAAGGAAGGAAGAAAGAAAGAAAGAAAGAAAGAGGAAGAAAGAAAGCAGTACAACACCCATTCTTTCTGGCCGCCCTGAGCNAAAGAAAGAAAGAAAGAAAGAGGAAGAAAGAAAGCAGTACAACACCCATTCTTTCTGGCCGCCCTGAGCTCCCCCACCACCACGGTGCCAGCCTCCTGTCTCTGAGCACCTCCCTCACCGCCCCCCCACTCCCCTACATGGACAAGCACTTCCTCTCTGCCTCTCTTTCCTCCCCTACGCACCCTTCTGGGGAACGCACCTCACCCCACAGCCGCAGATACAGTGGAAACCAGATACAGCACTAGCAACGGAAACTCCCCAGGATGCTTATCGATCATGGTGATGGACATAGCATTTGTGACACCAGGGGGTTACTTGTGTTTAAAACTTGCATCAGATGGGGCGCCTGGGGGGCTCCGTCAGTCAAGCGTCGACTTCAGCTCAGGTCATGATCTCACGGTTCATGGGTTTGAGCCCCACATCGGGTTCTGTGCTGACAGCTCAGAGCCTGGAGCTGCTTCGGATTCTGTGTCTCCCTCTCTCTCTGACCCTCCCCGGCTCATGCTGTCTCTCTCTCTCGCTCAGAAATAAATAAAAACATTAAAAAATAAATAAAGTAAAACCTGCCTCAGACTCTCTGAGTCCACAACCCAGAACAATAATGTATCAAGGAAAATAATCAATGTTGGAGGAGGCTGGGGGTGCTAATTTTGGTATAAAAGTAACTGCCTAAAACGTCTTAAGTCGTTTAGTACAGAAATTCCTTAAATGTGCAGTAAAAATACTTAACCTGTTCGTTGGGATTTTTATGAGAAAACTAAATCTTTTGGCCACTTTTTGTCGTATCGAAGAAAGGAATAAATAAGATCACTCGTGACTGAGAAGCTACAACATGGCACCCGGGGAACGTGCTCACAGGCCAGGGGAAGCGGCTGGTACCTTGACGTGGTCTGTAACGTTTTTAAACCTATCACGGGAAAGAAAAATAGCAGAAGTTTATAATAAAGGGAGAAAATTAAGAGTGACTGATTTTCAAAAGAGGGGCCAGAAGCTCACTGTCGCCGGGTCGGGTCCTCTGTTCTCGCAAGTGCAGGGCTGCGGCCAAGTCCGGTCCAGGAGGATAAAAATGGAACGCGGATGCAGACACTGACCTTCCGCAGAAGAGACACCGTTTTCTCAAAGGCTAATGATTGAAATGTGCGTCTGCTGCTCTCAGGACACCAGAGATGCCGGTGGACAAAGCCGTGCGTTTTCGAGCTCACCCGGCCCGCCTGCCCTGGGCAGGAGCAGAAGTTGGGGCCAGAGACCCGTGCAGACGGGACGCGCCCTCCGGGTGGGCGTGGAGCCAGACCAGGCGGGAGCCAGGGGGAGACGGGACGCACCCTCTGGGTGGGCAGGAGCCAGGGGGAGCCAGGCCCCTGTGCTTTTGCTCCCGGCAGGGCTGAGGCTGACCCCTCACACCTCACCCTCTTCCCTCCACTTCCCCTGGGCCTTCCTCGGACTCCATGTCCCGCCTCTGTGAGCCCCAAGGAAGGAAGCAGGGGGTGCAGGGGCCCAGCGTGCATCAGGCCCTGTACCCACACGTCATGCCCGTCGTGTGGCTAAGGAGTCGGGGGTCTGAGGTCAGACGGCTAGGAAGTCGGTGTCACGTGATTTCCAATCACATCAGCCCGTGCCCCTCACTCCGCCTCCCGCCCTCCCCCACGGGTTATTAAGGGCGTCCCCCACCTCGTCCTGGGACAACGGACAGTGATCCAGTGACAACAAAGCTGACTCCGCGGTCACAATCTGTGACCGGTGCTCAGAAGGGTCCCAACAGCAGACAAGCCTCCAGGGAGAGGGGCAGGAGGAAAACACGTGATGTAGCACCTGAAGGATGCACAGTAGCTGACCGGAGAGGGCACAGAACATTCTAGAGGCCGGGCGAGCCGGGCGCAGGGGCGGAGGAGACGGGGCTGACGGAGCTGAATCGAAGGCCGGCGGGGGGGGGGGGGGGGGGGGGGGGGCACGGGCGCGTGACCCACCTGGTCCACGGGCACCTCCACCTGTACGTGCCTGTCTTCTTTGACCTCTGGCGCCCCCTGGGCTTCCGTGCTCGGAGTGTGGGCTTTGTACACGTCACCTTCTGGAGAAAAACAACACACGTGGGCTCTCAGGCCAACACCCACTGCGCAGTTTCTGACCCAAACCAACATCACAGACTGACATTCTGAGCTTGCCATACCCGGGCCCCAGGTCCACACCCCTGTCTCCACGAAGCTCCCAGACCCTGAAGTCACAGTCATCACTGTGACCTACCCACCACGGGACTCCGTCCTGGGGACGAAACACAGTGAACGCTCGACACAGTGTGTCCGGTTAGCTCGGTGAGGAACGAACACACAGCAACCCCAGACGGCGGGCCATGTTCCGAGGACATGTGCCTTTGTTACTTCAAAACTACGCCAACAACTTATTTGCGAGTAATGAGTGAAAGGAGTCTAGGATTTGAATGAAATGAGTTGTAACAAACGAGGGCCGACAGATAAAAGCCAGCACACCAGATTACAGCTGGGTGGCTTATCTGCTTACAGAATCCGGAGGTTCTTGAAATCTTCACCCCCACCCCAGCAAGAAGAGGTGACGCAAAAGGGAAAAGAGGCCGAGGCTTCCTTCAACACCCAGAGGGTGTAACCGCGGCCCTGAAGGTCTCAGCAACCCAGTGTGGGGATGGGCCACAGCTCATTCCACTTCTTCTTGCCCGTCCCCCTCCCCTTCCTGGCCCTCAGCCCCAGGAGGACCGTCCCCCAGCCCTGGGCTACGGGTGGGGGTGGGGGCGCTGATCCCAGGGAAGGGATGAGGAGGAGAAGGCAGAAGGCGGCATCCGTGGGGAGCTCACAGTGTTCCCGGTCCTCCTCTGTGCGCTTGACAATTAACACTCATGCAAGCTGCCCACTTGACTACTGTGCCTGTCGGTAGACGAGGAATTTGCCTAGGACCTCAGGCTTGAGAGGGCACAGCTGGACCCTGGGCCCCAGCACAGCACACCGCCTCCCAGAGGGAAGGGCAGCCCGAGCCGTGGAGGACAGACTTTGCCAAGAAAGACATTTCACATGCACTGCTTAAACTCTCTACTACTGTTGATACGTTGCAGTATTCTACGGTATAACCTATAGTACTCTGTAGCATAACCTATAGTACCCTGTGGTATAACCTGTAGTACTCTAGTATAACCTACAGTACTCCGTAGTATAACCCACAGTACTCCAGTATAACCTACAGCACTTCCTAGTATAAGCTACAGAACTATAGATTCAATAGGCTCTGGCGTGACGCCCACCCTGGCCATGGTCAGGTTGCATCAGAACGTGGTGATGGCCATGCTCACCGAGCAGGAACACTGGTTAAGGAGGGACGGCTCAGCGCCCGCATGCAGACCAGAGCCTGGCGCACTGCGAGAGGACGCCTTCACCTGGGATGGGAAGGCCCGAAGGGGGTGGGCGGGGAGCAGGCGAGAGGCGGCAGGGACCCCTCAAGTCTGCAGCCTGGAACCGAGCAGAGGGCTCCAGGGAAGCCAGCACACCATCAGAGCAGAGAGGAGGAGCCGTAGGGAGCACACAGGGAGGGAAGGGCTTTAAGGAAAATGACCTCCAAATGTTGCCAGATGCTGCAGAGAAGCAAAGGGGAGCCCTCCTTCCCCTGGGCCTCTTCCTAACCAGCCACTGTCAAAATGCCTGTGACACCCGCTGATGGAACATGGGGCTGGCTCACAGCCAGGGCTCAGCCCCCCCCAGCCAGGGCTCAGGCCCCCACCCAGCCAGGGCTCAGGCGCCTCCCAGCCAGGGCTCAGGCCCCCCCCCAGCCACGGCTCAGGCCCCCCCCAGCCAGGGCTCAGGCCCCTCCCAGCCTGGGCTCAGGCCCCTCCCAGCCAGGGCTCCAGCCCGCCCCCAGCCAGGGGTCAGGCCCCCACCCAGCCATGGCTCAGGCCCCCACCCAGCCAGTCAGGCCCCTCCCAGCCAGGGCTCAACAGAGTAGAAGCAGGAGCAGAGCAAGGGTTTTCTTAATTATTCCATTTTAAAATCAGCTCCAAAGTTTAATCTTTTAAACATCCCTCAGACTCAAAGAGTAAACCCAGACCATTCAAATGGAGTTTAGTTTCACGTCTCCCTCCAAAGTCTGACTTGTTTGTGGGTTTATTGCCTGCCTGGTCCTCAGGGAGAGCACGCCCTGCCCTGATGTCCACAGAGGCACAGAGTTACTGTACTGATCTGGGAGGGCTTCCTGGTAGAGAGTGCCACTGCCTTCAGCCCTGGAACATTGTTTTTCTCCTCTCACTACAGGGCCCCTCGAGCTGAATGTCTCATTAATACATCAGATAGTCATGCATCAGGAGTTAAAATCAGATGGTTACAAGTCATATCTTTGCAGCGAACGTGGCCCCCAAAAGACACATTCTTAAAAGAGTAACATTTTTTAGGGCAGCAGCCAAAGTTCACATTACCTGCACCGCATTGGGACGAAGTTTCTACCAGCACCTTCTTCTTCCCCTCTGTGGCGTAAAACACAGAATCCCGTTCCTTATCGGGAATGCTGTCATACTTGTGCGGCTCTTTTCCTTTGGAATCCTCCTAAGGCACAAATCAAGAATAAGAGGTGTGTTAGGAACAGCAGCGTCCCAGTCACTGTGCGACGATCAGGGCGAGCACGCGGCCTCGTCCAGGAACCAGGAAGAGGCGTCCCTTCCAGCACCATCTGGACTGCTCTGCCCCTGACGCTTCTCTCCGGCAAAGTGGCAAAATCACTTGTCTCCCAGGGTAAGGACAGCGCCTCACGGGGGGGGCTGTGCCGTCCTACTAACCTAAGATGCCCACACACCCGACAAAATGAGGGAAAGTTCTGGAAGGGAGCAGGAGAGTCTGAGCGGCCTGTGTGGTTTTAGACACACCTAACAGCCTAATAAAAATCACCACTTCAACAACTACAAAACTATTCCTGCTGGAACTTCCAGGCAAAGGGGAGCGTCTCTGATTTAAAAAAAAAAAATTTAAATTTTTTAAATGTGGCAGGTTCATTTTGGGTTAAGATAAAGGGAAACTCAGATATCTTTAAAAATCTTCAGACCGGAGTGCCCGAGCATGGGGGGATCACAGGGTACGACGAACTAATCCCGCGCACCATCCCGGCTCCGTCCCATGAACCATCTTCACAATACAAACCGGCCCCTGGGCGGCTCAGTCAGTTAAGCGTCGACTTCGGCTCAGGTCATGATCTCACAGTCTGTGGGTTCAAGCCCCGCGTCGGGCTCTGTGCTGACAGCTCAGAGCCTGGAGCTGCTTCCGATTCTGTGTCTCCCTCCCTCTCTGCCCCTCCCCCACTCACGCTCTTTCTCTCTCAGAAATAAAACATTTAAAAAAAAATACAAACCGTCTCAAGGTTCTCCTTAGCCCTGCCTTCCCCCAAGTATTTGGAGTGAGGGCAGGCGGGGCTGTTTAACGGAGATTTCTCCTGAGCTCCCTGTGGCTCCTGAGAAAACACCGTCAAGCTAAAACACCTACCTTGTGCCACTGATAGATTCACGATGCAAACCGCCCGTGTTGTATTCACACGGAAATTCGAGTGTGAAAACCGCCCCACGACCAAATACAAGACCCAAGCAAAATCTGTCTACGAGTTTCAAGGGGCTTTCCTCAAACTTGAAGTCATGCTCGTAAGTAGAGGAACCAGGCTCAGAGACAGAACTCAGTCGGCCCGCGCGCTGGAGGGAGCCGGGGCTGCGATTCTGCAAACCCGCTTCACTCTCCGAGCATCACCGACATCTCTTTCTTGCGATCGTTTTCTGTGTCGTCAGCCTCTCAGACAAAGACGGCATGTATTGAGTGTGCTTTCCCGGAAGTAACACTCAAGGGACGGGACACAGAAATCATGTTGGCCTCCTCACAGGGACACGAAGGCAGCGCTTAGTACAGAGCAAAGCACACGGCGAAGGCCAAGACCGTCCACCGCCCGGCCACCAGCCCGTCACCCCAGGCTCCGGCCACGAGAGGAAAATGAGCTGGTCCACAGCGACCTGCAAGGTCACAGAGACACACAGAGCTTGGGGCCAGCACCATGGCAGGTGAAGAGAGGGCACGATGTCAATAAATCGATTTTACTGTTGACTCTCACACCTTACCTAAGTACCTGAAGGAAACGAGTTTTTAAAAGCACCGTCTTTCTGGGGGCGCCTGGGTGGCTTAGTCGGTTGAGCGTCCGACTTTCGCTTAGGTCATGATCTCGCGGTTCGTGGGTTCGAGCCCCGCGTCGGGCTCTGTGCTGACTGCCAGCTCAGAGCCTGGAGCCTGTTTCAGTCTGTGACTCCCTCTCTCTCTGACCCTCCCCTGCTCACGCTGTCTCTCTCTCTCTCCTAGAAATAAATAAAACATTAAAAAAAAAATAAAAATAAAAATAAAAGCACCGTCTTTCCACAACGTCCAGTGAAACCTGGAGCCGCCCTGGTTTGGCTTCTCGCCAAGTCTTGGCCCAAGGCCTGGCTTGTCCCCTGTCCCCAAGGACACCCTGAGGCACTCGCCCCCACGCCCAGTCCCACGCCCGGTCTCCTTCCTCCCCTTCGTCCAGCACTGGACGCGATCTTCATCTCTGGGTGCTTTTCTAGGATGTTTTTATTGACCTGTGTGTGCCGGGCAAACACCGTCTGGCACGTGGTCACCAGAACACGGGCCGAGCCCTCTGCTTTCCTCGTCCCCGGGAAACACAATCCACGCTCAGTGACGTGATCCCAGCACTTGCTCTACATGTTCGCTGATTTCATGAACTGAGTAAGAAGATGTGGGAAACGCGGGGGCACAGGAATGAGCAAAGACAGGCGAGGGCTTGACTGAGCTCACATCACACACACAGGCCTGCACCGCCGGCCCAGCCTGCCTTCTGGTGCCCACGGGGAGCCCCCACACACCCCGCTGCCCCTCCGGGCCCCCCCTGGATGTTTCTGCAGAGCCACCACCTGCTGGGTGCGTCAGGCAGGCTCACCTCCAGACCCTGCCCCAGCGCCGCCCGCGCCCCACCTGGCGGCTCTCAGGGCCCCACGGCCTCGCACCTGCAGCTGCCGCCCACCCGCTGCCCTCTGGCCAGCGCTCCCCTGGCACCGGCCGGGGCCGCCGTCAGCTTTACACGCACCCGCCGCTGCAACGGACACTCCACGTATCTCTTAACGGTCAGAGCAACGCGCGTTCACAGCGGTTCGTAGAATCGATGGGTTGAGCAGGAAAACAGAATCTGTTTCGATTTAGAACTTTTAGACGCCGCCCTCCACTGCCTGCTCCTCTTGCCCCGACTCCAGAGTGGAAATCAAGGCGGGCACCTTACAAAGGCGGCAGGTGCCGCTTTTCCATTTCATTTTCCTTTTTCCTATAAAAACATTTCCAGAAAACATACCGGAGGCTCACTGTGTTTCTTTCTCTGTAGTGCTTTAGGAACTACCATTTTTCTCGGGAGCCCATTTCATCTGCTCTCGCCCTGCTTTCCCGCTGTTGTGACCGACAGTCTGGCTCGGGCGCATCTCCACACCACCAGAAGCCCACACAGATGAGTCCTGGCGGCCGCGTGATGCTGCTGTGGTCTCGATGGTTTGGGCCTACAAACGTCAGTTCCAAAGACTCACTCCACACTGCACTTTACAGTTTAGACCCAGTCATTAAAGTGTGTGTGTACCGTTGTGTGCATCTCTATGACTGTTTCACACACACACACACACACACACACACACACCTTTAATTTGTCAATGTTTTTCTCTTCATTTCTGTTCACTGCCAACTTTTTCTGTGCTCTATGCCCAAAAGAGAAGTAGGTAATATTGATGGCCTGGTTGTGGATGTGACATAAATACAATGCTTATTAATTATTCACTGATGTGTTACAGAGGCTTGCACATTAAAATATTCATTTTAATCTAGGAATGCAGCTTTAAACATTTATTAAATGAGCCTCACTTCTTTGGAAAGTAATAGACACAAAATCACAGTAAATGCAGTTGCTGTAAAACCGAATCTGCGCTAACAAAATTAGAATAGGTTCGTTCAGGGGCACCTGAGTGGCTCAGTCGGGTAAGCGTCCGACTCTTGGTTTTGGCTCAGGTCATGATCTCACGGTTCACGTGAGTTGTGGGTTCAAGACCCTCATCAGGCTCTGTGCTGACAGTGCAGTCTGCTGGGGAGTCTCTCTCCCTCCCTTTCTCTCCCTCCCTCTCCCTCCCTCCCTCTCTCTCTCTGCCTCTCTCTCTCTCAAAGTAAATAAATAAACATTAAAAAACAAAGAATAGACTCATTCAGTTATTTTCATGGGACTAAAACAGTCACAGCTCAACTTAATTGACCCCTGGGGCCACCCTGACCTCTCTCGTTTTCTCACACCCACGACCACCCAGACGCACCTGTGCTCCTTCCCAGTACTTTGTCTTCTCATTTCATGGAATCAACTGCCATGAATCCTAAGACACATGGTTATTTTACGTACTGCTAAGAAACAAAGCAAGCTGCCAGCCAAGGAGGCCACACTGCTTCCGTGTAACCTAGGGGCTCTGCTTTCTGCCTCCTGGAAAAGCCCTTGGACAACTTCTGGACATGGATGCTTATCACATCCCACACCTGTGCATAAAGCAAGGGGACAATGTACCAGAAATAAATTACTCGAATCTTCTCAAGATTTTACACCCAGTGTCAGGCTCTCCTGAGACTTTTTTTCTTTTTTAACGTTTATTCATTTTTGAGAGACAGAGACACAGAGCATGAGCAGGGGAGAGGCAGGGAGAGAGGGAGACACAGAATCTGAAGCAGGCTCCAGGCTCTGAGCTGTCAGCACAGAGCCCAACGCGGGGCTCGAACCCACGAAGCTTGAGATCATGACCTGAGCTGAAGTCGGATGCCCAGCTGATTGAGCCACAAAGGGTCCCCTCTCCGGAGCCATTTCTGCCTCAGAGTTGAATATGTCTGTGCTTTGCCAGGCAGTGTGGGCAGAGTGCACACCATTATCTCTGGAATTTTCTCCCAAGAGTCAGGCTCTGCACATTTTGAGGCTGGTGCCTTCTTGCCTAGAGCGTGGGAAACAACCCTTCTCCTCCTACCGCAGTAGCAAAACGTGCCAGACAAATATGGCAGACTGCTTCCTGGCCATCAGGCCCCTCCCTGGACGCAGATGAGGGGTGCAGAGTGGGTATACCTTGGCTGCACCCCTCCACCGAGGGAGAGTCTGTTCCTCGACCTCCTGGAATCTTGCAGCCACGTGGGTGACAATCAGCACCAACCCCCGGACACTCCCCTCAAGGCAGCCCAAACACCCCAGCCCACGAACCCTGCACCGAACGCAGCCACAAGTAAACCGCCCCAGCTGCCCCAGACCCACCCAGCCAACCCGCGGGAGCCAGAGATGTAGTAAATCACTGGTGTTTGAGTCCCCTGGGCTTCAGCATGGCTCGTAATAGATTACATGCGCAGTAATAGATTACTGAACTTGGATCTTCAACCGCGTGTGGGTAACTTCCTTTCTCGGTCCCCGTAAGAGTTGGTTGTTGCTTTGCAAAAAATAAGGGATTAAAAAGAACAGACTCGACTAACATCAGGTTGCTGTTCTATCTTTGTGCTTTCTGGGAACACGATTTTGAATCATATCAAACCGCCCTGGGGAGATTTGCTGAGCAACCAAACTCTACGTGTGTAGGGCCAACCACAAGCACACCTCAGCCGCAGACGGTGAGAGGGGCCGCGCTAGCCGGGGCTCACCGCCGCCTCCATGGCAACAAGAGCGGCCAGTGGGCATCCACATGGATGTGTCCTATTCAGCACAGAAAAGAGACAAAGGAAGTTTAATGAGTGAGAAGCAGAAAACAAGGTATATAAGCAAGTAAAGAGGCAATTGTATGCACCATGATGTGGCTGCTGCGACTGATTCAGCCTCATGCTGCCAAACAGTGGAGCCTGGCACGAGGGATAGACTCCATCCCCAAAAACGTACCCCTTCCTCTCATGGGGCAAAGGTTTATTAAGTACGGAATTCTCAGCTCAACATACCATGCAGACCTTCACACAAACGACGAGTAGGGTAAAATATCTTGACAGGTGTTAAAATCAATGCCTGGTGTTTTCTTTTAGGACTTTCCGTTTTCTGGAATAAAATGTGCTCTGCTGTTCCACGCCTTATGCACTCACTCTTATGTCACAGAAAACTTTCAATGATAGATATTTTTTTCTAAAATAACATATCTGGGGCTGCCCGGGTGCCTCAGTCTGTTAGTGTCTGACTATTTCGGCTCAGGGTATGATGTCTCAGTTCACAAGTTCAAGCCCTGCATCAGGCTCTGCATTGACAGTGTGGAACCTGCTTGGGATTCACTTTCTTTCTTACCCCTCCCCTGCTTATGCTCATTCTCTCTCTCTCTCTCTCTCTCTCAATCAATAAACTTTAAAATAAATAAACTAAAATAACACATTTTGTTTGCATTGCTGTGTATGCATATTTGCAGTCATAATGTTAAATATCACCATCAAAACCTGTTACCTTTCCAGTGACAGATCTCCAAGAGAAGAGAAAGAAATACAGACAGTATCAGAAGAAACACATCTCAAATTTTTGAATAAATAGAACAAATATGTAATAAAAGAAAAAGAAAATTGTATCCCTACCAACAAGGACACAACAACATAACTAAAACAGTAAGGACAACCACGAACTACTGGTTCAGGTCTCTGTGTGCTCAGAAGCTTCCAGAACCACGGAAGTATGAGATTTCGAGGTTGTACCATTCGTGCTAAGTATCAGCTTCAAACTCAGTGCCCACACCCCATGTGAGCTGGTTACAGCACCTGAGAAAGACTCCGTGAGGCTGGAATCGTGTGCACATCCCCGTGGGCTCTCTGTCCCCCCGACACCTGCCCCCTTCTCTGAACCACGCGACGACCTGCACTGTGTTCGCCCATCTCCACGTGTCGCTTACTCCCTGCCCCCAAACCATCACCCTGTGCATGTGACCCATTCACACACATGTTTCATCATGAGACCAGGCCATGCGTCATCTGTCCTAACAAGATGAAGCACATCCTTGGGGCAGAATCACTTCTATCATTTTCGTGTTCTCAATGATTCTCATTCTTTCGTTCATTCAACAAACACTTAATACTAAATGCAACCCACAGAGAAAGGAAATCAAAAATAAATAAGACGATCGTTCAGCTCAGGATGCTACCAAAACAACAACAGTTGATTCAGGAAAACCTTGACGCCAAAGCCAGACAAAAACAACTTGAAAAATAAGTATTCCAGGCTAATCTCATTTATGAATGGACACGCAAAAATCCCTTACAAAATTTAGCAGAACACATTCTGACAAGCATTTGTTAGCAGTAAGGCTTTTTCGGTGAAGGCACTCGGGGAAAGGAGCGAATTTGGCATGAACAGTCAGGTCAGCTGTGTTACCATCGCCAGCAACACGGAGCTCCCTGGGTGCAGTGTGGACAGGCAAGGTGTGGCCTCGTCCACCGCTGGACTCTCACTAGGCAAATTCCATGGGGCTCATGGACATCAGGAAGCACAAGTATTTCCAAGAGCACGGGCAAGACAGTGATTATGAAATCCAAGCTGCACCAGGAAAAAAGCCACTTCAGGGCTGGCCACTAGATATTGGAAAATAGAGATCAACACATGGGGGCACAGGTTTCGAGGCTGATAAGGGTCAGTACGGAGGGTGCCTGAGCAAAGAGGCTGGAAAGCCAGGAATGGGCAAATAGTAGACATTTAACAGCCTTACTTAATAAACACGAAGGTCAGTAGAGCCAATGAAACACAGCTTATAAGGTGGTGGGGGTATGTAGTCATATATACACAGGTGATAAATACCCGCATGACCGCCAAGATCTGGCTTCTACCTGCCCGTCCAGGCTCTTATCCTGACACCTGCTGGCCATTCTTCTCGTGCTTTATGTGCAACACACATGCACACGCGAGGGCACACACACGGTGTGCATGCGTGTGCACACACGTGCATGCACACACACAGTGAGCTGCGCCTTGGCCCTGAGATGCCCCCTTCCAGCTGCCCTCAGGCTCAGGGCTTGGCCCCTCCCTCCTGTCTGTCCCCACACCACCCATCTTCCTCGTGACACTCACTGTGTCACAACTCCGCGTGCCTCCTGGGTCTACACTCAGAGCTCCAATGCCTCACTGGCCACACGCATAGGGGCAAGCCTGGCCCAGAACCCTATGCCCAGAAGCTGGGGTCCCCACCGCAGGGCCTCTCCAGGGAGGCATCCTTATCAAGGTCAGGGGCACCAGAGTCATCCACACTTCTTGTCTTCACTGTGCAAAAAGTACTTACTTTTTTCTTTTCTCTTGAGTACTTCTCGATGTCCGCATACTTTCTGAAAGACAAAAGGTAGTCAGCTAGAAACTGGTAAAGATCAGCCAAACAGCATCTTCTGAAACGGTGGACTCTGTAGCCGTGGCTTGCAGGAAGACAAGGCCACGGAGAGGGTGCGTCCAGTGTCCTGATAGCCCGGGCTCACATCGACAGCCGTTTCCCAGCCTCAGGAGCAGAAATGTTTCCTCCCATTTCTTCCCCAATGAGGTTCCTCGGTTTCCTTCCCGGAGACCTTGGAAAATCCAAGGGATCTCCACGTACCAGTGTGGGGCTCTGGCCCACGGGCAGCATGTTTACAGGCACCTCTGTCCTAGACCTTTTATACCACCATGGGGGGAAAGCCTAACATTTTTGAGGTTTTTAATTTTTTTTAAGTCTGTTTAGCTTTTTTTAGAGAGTGTGCACAAGTGGGGGAGGGGCAGCAAGAGATGGAGAGACGTGGGGCTCGAACCCATGAACCATGAGATCACGGCCTGAGCCGAAACCAAGAGTCAGTCGCTTAACCAACTGGGCTGCCTGGGCACCCGTGTTTTTGAGGTTTCTGACACCTGACGGTCACTCCCACAAACACGATTTCTCACTGTGGCCTGTGTCACATGCGTCACCTTCTCCCTGGGCTGGAGAGGAGGCACAGCTAGGAGACAGAGGGTTTGGTCAACCCCACACCGCTGATCAGGGGAAGAACAGAGACTCCGAGCCCGTCTGAAACCCAGTCCAGCCTCCCTCCACCGCATGGCAGACCCCTCGTCTAACGGCCGCCGTGGGGCAGGGGCCCAGCTCCTGATTCCTCTGCAGGGGGCTGACCTCCACCGCTGGCACACAGGAGGGGCACTTCTGGCACAGCCCCCAGCTGACGGGCACCTCCCTCCCACAGGGTGTATGGGGAATGGACTTCAGTCTCTTAGCAGCTCTGTGGACGCCCTTCCTCTCAAGCCCCAACCTCTTCCGCGAGGAGAAAGATATTTAAGCGACTGACTGACCCGGTCCAGGGTTCGGCACATGAACAGACGACAGGAAATAACAAAACCCATTGAGAGACGGGGGCCTCGTGCCGGGAACAGGGGACACAGAGAACTGTTCACCTCATTCCAAAGCCCCTAAGGGGTTTCCACCCACCATGCAGTTAGGACAGTCGCCAATGACTTGGCACGTAAGTAAAATCGGGAAACAGCCATGCCACCAGGCCCGGAGGCAGGACCCTGACCTCCCCACCTGCCGTGGGGCCTCGCCCGTGGACAGGACACGAGGAGCCACTCTCTGCCCCCAAGCGGAAACCCCAACAGCACATGAGTGCAAACAGGCGTGAGGTCGTCATAGACACGGTCCCTGGGGGTGTCTCAGAGTCCCAGGCCCCAGGGGGGAACTTAAGGTCGGGGCAGGGGGACCATCTGCCTGTTTCACCAGGAGACGAACTCTGACAGCTCCTTTTCCTTCCCTGAGATAAGGACCCTAAGAAGCAGCCACAGGGAGGGTCCCTGGCAGCCCATCAAATAGTTGCTGCTGATGCACGTGGTTCAAACACACCCCTGGGCCTGAGCACTCACGGCTGCAAAGTCCGGCTGACCGCTCCTCTCAGCCAGACCAGGGAGCGCCCTGGGTGCGGAAACGGGGGCGGGCGCCCGAGTTAAACACTGCATCAGGCAGACTCCGGAAGGAGGGCTGCGTGGGCACTGGACTGAGGCACCTGGCGCCCGGGGACCAGAGCCATGGCTGGTCTGCCCCCTGGCAGCTCAAGGGCGTTTCTGGGAGGCAGCCTGTCTGTCATCCCAAGCCCCACCCTCTCTTCTTACGGGGCCCAAAAGCAATGGACTCAGCCTTAGCTCTAATGCCGGGACTTGAATATGGAACAAAAACTTGAGGATATGGATCAGTATACACCCCTGGACTCCGGTCTTGCGGGTCACGTCCTTGGTGACCCACCACTGAGCCTGGACAGCCTGTACGAACACACAGGAGTCCATCAGGAGCTGTAGCCCCGTGGAGCCCCAGACTAACAACCAGGTTTCTGTATCTGGCCAACACAACGTCAGAAAGTCAGGACGTGCTCTGGACCGTTGGCGGGCCTGTGGGCATTTGGAGCGGGAAAACTGAGGCTCTAGCACACACACAACCGAGAAGCGAGGTGGGTGGAGCACTGAAGTCTAAGGAAGCATCAAATGTAATTGTGCCCTGAGAACGTAAGTCGGACACCTTATCAGGCGACTTCAAGGCCCACGAACTGTGAGAACTGCAGGCAGACACGGAGTCCACGCCCGTCTCCGTGAGCATCCGTGCAGGACCCTGGGCAAGCAGGTCAGAGCCCGAACGCCAGGCTGGCCTCCAGGGTAACGCCGCTGGGCGTCCCTCGGGCACCGGAGAACATTGGCTCTCATTCTGGAGCTGGCTGGCCTGCTGTTTTCACCAGAAGAGCCTGCTGCCCCCACAGACTCTCAATTTCAGACCAGAAGCTACCGGCCAGATGAACTGGGTGCAGGAGGGAGCCCTGGGCTATCACGACTGTGCCCGGGGCCGGGGCTGCGACTGGTTTGCACGTGAGACTCTTCTCTCTACGACTCCCAGTGTCCCCGGAGAAAGGGCAGCGCCTTCCACACGAGGGCTTACCGTCCTTGTGAATATAGCAGACAACAGGAGTCCCTCCGTGCCTAATTTTGGAAATGCAAAACCATGCCGTCTATAAAACGAGACTATCACGTTTCACTACAGGAAAACAGCCAATAGCTGAACTGGCCGTACAGGGACGATCCTGGGGAGAAGGCAGATTTCACCCACTCGGGAGATAAAGGTATGAAATGTGCTCACTGTTGGACCTCACTGGGCACCTTTGCGGATTTCCAGTAAGGGAAATATTTGAAGGTCTCCAGTCCCACCGCCACGTAAAAGTGGTTGTCTTGCAAATCCTTCGCGTTGTTCAGAAGATGTCCATTCATTGTAAATAATCTGTGAAGAAAGAAAGAAGAAGTGGACCAGAGGCTTCCGAGCAGCGATCTCAGGACTGGGGGCGTCTCTGCAGACAGTACGACTGGGATGCGGGCCACTGGCGGGCGAGCTGATGAGCTCGTAAGCAAGCGAAGTCCAAACAAGCTAATTAAAGCCTGGGGGGAGGGAGTGGCTGCCTTTCCAGGGCTAGGCTTCCCTTCCAGTTTTAGACTTTTTAATTAAAGTATATTTTTAATTATGTACAAGTGCTCAGAGGCCCTTGAGAACATTTTAAGCTCCTGGTTGGTGTTCAATTAATTTTAACTAATAACAGCAAAAATTAATAAAAATTGACTTATTTTGTTACAACAATACTTGGAAAACAAACCAGTATTTTTTAGCAAATAATATGCCTTTTTATAAGCACCAAAAGACTAATATTTGTCTACATTTTATTCTATAGTCTTTTTTGGCAAGTATTCACTCATTAATTCATTCATATAAGAAATTATTTAAGGGGCGGCTAGGCGGCTCAGCCAGTTAAGAGTCCAACTTCAGCTGATGTCATGATCTCAGTTCGTGGGTTCGAGCCCCATGTTGTGCTCTCTGCTGACAGCTCAGAGCCTGAAGCCTGCTTCAGATTCTGTGTCTCTCTCCCTCTGCCCCCTCCCCTGCTCATGCTCTGTTTCTCTCTCTCTTTCTCAAAAGTAAATAAACATTTTAAAAAAAGAAATTATTAATACAGGGGCACCTGGGTGGCTCAGTCAGTTAAGCAACCAACTCTTGATTTCAGTTCAGGTCATGATCTCACAGTTCATGGGATCAAGCCCCACATTAGGCTCTGTGCTGACAGTTCAGAGCCTGCTTGGAATTCTCTCTCTCCTTCTCTCTCTCTGCCCCTCCCCACTCGTGTGTGTGCTCGCTCGATCTCCCTCTCTCTCTCTGCCCCTCTCCTCCTGTGTGCACTCAAGGTCTCTCTCATGCACACGCACACGCAAAGTAAATAAACATTTCTTTTAAAAGAAATTAGTCGATCCATTCAATGCTGAGCACCTATTATGCACTAGACAACAAGGTAGGCCCTGTCTTGGATAAAAATACGGGTAAGGCTGGGGCGCCTGGGGGGCTCAGTCGGTTAAGCGTCCAGCTTCGGCTCAGGTCATGATCTCATCGTTCATGGGTTTGAGCCCCGTGTCGGGCTCTGTGCTGACAGCTCAGAGCCTGGAGCTGCTTCAGATTCTGTGTCTCCCTCTCTCTCTGCCCCTCCCCTGCTCACGCACTCGCTCTCTCTCTCTCTCTTTTTCTCTCTCTCAGAAGTAAATAAAACATTAAAAAAAAATACGGGTAAGGAAGTCACCACTTCCCTGAAAACCAGGGTTTGTAGACAAACCTAGAAACAGAAATGCGACCAAAGAAGGGAAGACCCGGACTTCCAGGAGGGGGAAACTGGACTCAGCTGTGGGCCTCACAAAGCTGGGGGCGCAGTGCGGGGAGGAGGTGGTAGACGCTCCTCCTGTGAAGATGGTGCCCCGGTAGCAGGAGGGGCGGGACCCGAACCCCGAACCCAGGGGTCGGTTGTCACTGAACGTGAAAGGCACACACAGAATGTGCAGGTTGAAGTCCGGAGCCGGGGAATCTGGGGAGAGGAGTCCATCACTGACTTTGCAGCAGCGAGTGGACACTGATGTGGAAGAGGGACAGGAGCTGAGTGTGAGCAACGTCAGCTGACGGCGGTGGGTGCTGAGGGAGGGAAGGGCCGGCTCGGGCCGCTGCAGCAGGTGTGCGGGGCGGCCGTGGGCCGGAGCGGGGGCGGGAGGGGCGGGTCGCACGGGGGCGCCCTCCTCCGTCCCTCTCAGACCGTAGCGTGGGAACGGCGATGGCTTGCTGCTGTGAGACAGCAGGGCCCCACGCCCGGGGCCTCTGGCTCCTGAGGCCGGAAAGCAGCAGGATGGGTGTCCCCTGACGCTGACGCTGCTCTGGGGACCCAGGAGAGCCGCAGCCCGACACCAGCCCCGCGGGCAGGACCTTCAGGACAGGAGACCGTGAGCAGCCACGGGGGGGCTGTGCGGCCGCGACCAGGAGCGGAAGTCCGCCAAGGGGAAAACGATGTCTGGATTCCGTTCTCCTGCCAGTGCCCGGGCAGCCTGCAGGACCGCACAGCGGGCGCGCGTCCCCGAGGCCGAGTCCGGGAAGCGCTGAGCGGGCGCGGGCGCGGGCTCAGGGTTCTGGGGGCGGGGCGTGGGCTTGGGGCGGGGCGGGGCGCGGGCTCAGGAGGGTGAGGGCTGGCCCGAGGTAGAGACCAGAAAACCCTGGGTCAGGATTAGGCAGGTCCAAGCAAATGCCAGGTTAGTGAGGGAAGGGAGCTCATGCCATGACAGCTTTCCCCAGAGTCCCCAAAGCTGGGATCGTGAACACTGTTATCTTTCTGATGAGTAGGTTAACTGTCACTGCTATTTTAGAAGGCAATTTGGCAACATTTCAAACAACTTTCAAAAGATACATACTTAACCCAGTTTCTAATAGTTTGTCCTATGCAGATAAGAA